AATGATTCCAGAGAAGTCTAGGCGTTTACTGAGAGGGGATGAAGAGTTAGGTAAAGACCCCAAAAACATTTATGTAAATGAAGCAGATGCCTCACGATAAGGCAACAAAGGATGAAAAGAACAGATTCTTCTATCGGCATGACAAATTCTTCCAAGCACTCTGATTTGTCAGCCTTTCAGAGGCAGAGACATTGCGAAAGGGAATCATTTCACTTCAAACCAGTGCATATGCTCTAGTGCAGTTGCCTTGGCTGCTATCATTCTGAAAATAGAAAGACAAGAACCTCCAAAGGAGATAGATACATCCCAATCAGCTGTGACCCTCTAGAGTCACCAGAGAGCTTGGTTACTTTACATTAGAAAGCCAACATTAAAGGACCAAAAACTGGCAAGATGAAGCCCTTTCCATTCTGATATTGTATCCCACCCAGCACAGGATGTTTCCCAGAATATGTCAGTCCCTCAAAAGGTACCCCTGTAGCAGTCTGTCAAAGCACACTGCTACATCACTGCGACTGCACTCAATTGCTTGTTAACATATTTCATTTCAATTTGAGTCACTGCAGACAACTGCTCAGAAATTCTGAAAGGCTGGCTGTATCACTGAGCCACATCAGACAGCGTGAAAAATGTGGCCCACACTTCTGTAGAATAAAGGAAGCAGTGTATCATAGCTCTGTGTGGTTACATCCAAAAAACACTTTGATTTTAGCTAAGTTAATAATACAGCCAAGCTTTCCTCCCAAGACTTTGTTCTTACCGACACCTGATTTTCGGAGATCTCAATCAGATGAACTACAAAGACTAGATGGAAAATAAATTAAAAATGTAAAAAGCTTCTGCCTGGACAGAGAAAATTATGCAGTCATATGAAAAGCTTCTGGTATCTTAAGAAGGAGTGAGGTCTTTGACTGAACTACTTCTGAAAAGTTAGATCTGTTTTTAAAAACAGCATCCAAATTGCTTGGAAGATGAGAATTGTTCCAGGTAGCATTCCTAGGGTCAGGAATGGAAGGTTTCTTACACAAGGAAGTTTGACTCCTTGTGAAATATTCATGTCATCTGTGCCTTTTTAAGCTGATGAGTTTCTAGTACAAACCTGGACTCAGCTACAAGACTTCTCAACTCAAGAGGTACAGAGCCATGTGTTTCATCAAGAACTGCAGGAAAACGATATCCTTCCATCTCCTTAACATACTTTTCATTCTTTCCCCCTCTCTCCCCCCAAAACAAACAAGGTTTCACACCCACCCAAAGATGCCAAAAGCAAGGTTGCAAGGTGAAGCACTCAAAGTCTCTAGAAAAAAAAAAAAAAAAAAAAAATGGCCTGTGTAACTTCTGCTGGATTTATCTTGTGAGGAACTAGAGAAAGGAAAGATTTTACTAGAGGCTGCTGCAATTCTTCAAGCATATGTGGATTCAGCCATTTGCTGAACATTGGGCCCTGGTAAAACAGCAGCTGAAAGTGCTGACGTTCTGTTGTTCTCTTCCATGCTCTCTTTTGAATGTGCCTCAGAAAATGTCAGAAACTCACAGTAATACTGTTGACCAATTAATTCACTTCATAGTCCTCGATCATGTGCAGTTGAGCATTGCTTAAAACAGGATTTCAGTCTAACTGTCCAAAGACAAAGGAAGCCCAACCCATTACCTTCCAGACAGAAAACTTTCTGTTAAAACATTAATTTGCAATAAAAACACAGAAAAAGGAATTATCTTACCAAAATGTATCACTATTGTAATATAAAGAGGTAATTTGTTCTGGTTTTCTTCAGAACCAAGGCTCAGCCAAAGAGTTCTCCTCATCCTCCAGACCACCAGGTGCTTAAGCCAAGCCTGTCAGCCTACTGTGGGATTTTACATTCTTCCCTCTCAGCCCCAACACAAAGCATTTGGAGTCAATTTTGATACAAACCATACAGAGTTCATGTACTGAGGTAACATCCAGTGCTGTCATTTTTCCATGCAACTAAATGTCAGCAAGAAATAGAATCTAAAATTGGTCTGTAACTATGGCAACTAATGAGCCATTCCAACATGGAGTCCCCACATCAAACATGTGACCATCAAGGGATTCATTCCAGTTTTAGGATTCTGCTTTTCAAAGAAAATATGCAGCTTCTCTTGCTGACATGTGTATTAGAGGTGGCAGCCTACAATCAGGCTAGAGCAGGTTTAGACAAACAGCTGAGACAAAAACAGCTTCTTAAACTGGAAGGAAAAACAGCCAAGATATTCTACTGATGCTAATCACACCAGATATAGATATTTCCTTCCAAAAAGAACAAAAAGCCAGAGATGACAACAGCATTTGAAATCATAGCACTGGGAAATAAAGCATAGCTCAGTGACAAAAAGTAAAGGTGCCTTGATTTTTTTTTATTTTTTTTTTTTTGTTGTTGTTGTTGTTGTTTTTCATTTCTACTTCAAGAGGCATTTGGTGTGACAACTCAAAAGTCAGAAACATCTGCACATGCATATGAGAATAAACGTGAGGCTGGTTCTGCAATTCTGGTAAGGCTATTTCCTTTTCCATGACCTAATCTTCCTTCTGTTTTGGGGAACTCTCTTAAACAGTTATGCTTCCAGCTAGAAAGTTCCCATCTCTTTCCCAGGAAACCATGTCAATCCCTCTCCATACTTTCTCCTGGAAACCACCAGGTGACCCATTCTAGGGCCACAGAAATGAAGTCCCTCCAGAAGTAGCTGGGCTCTCTAGCAGAAGGATAGCTCTGCACACAAGGTATTTCATGCACGGGTTCCTTCAAAGCCAGAATAACTAGATGGCAAGAGCTTATATTTCTCCCATCTTGTATATACGTTGCACTACTACTTTCTAAACAGGTAAATCCTTCTCTTTCATTTGCCATTGAAGTTCCAGATCTTGCTGCCAGCATGCAGATGCGGTAGGAACAAGTGGCAAGGATCCCCAGAATAAATGGAGTATGGAGGTTTCCCTATGGTGCTAGAAATCATTCATCTCTTTTGCTGCTCCAAACAAGGAAGACCTTAACCACATTAAAAAAAAAAAAAAAAAACCATCAGAGTTCATATCTTTTTCATATCTTTTTTTTTTCTCCAGAAGAGAGAAGGTAAAATAATCAAGGAAAGAAAGCAGTTACTAGTTTTCCAGCAGAAATTGAAAAGTACATAGTTATTGTTACCCAATAAATTTGAAGCTAAAATGAAATTAAGATTTGAAACAAAGGGTCAGGATTGCCATGTATACGTGGAAAGGTTTCTTTAAAAAAAAGTGTATGTTCTAGATAGAAATGCAGTACAGCCCAGGATGTTAGGTGTTAGTCAGTTTTTGAACAAGAAACTGGATACTCTTAACAATTTTCTTGGAAGATTTTAAATCTAACAAAGCAAAACAAAGAATACCACGAACTAAATTACTTTGCCAACAATTGTAAACATTACCTGATCCTTTTTTTTTTTTTAATATTAGCTTCCTGGAAGCTAGAAAAAAAAATAAATTAAATATAAATTAAATAAAAAATAATAAATAAATAAATTAATTAATTAAATATAAAAATAAATTAAAAATTTCAGCTTTTAACTCAGGAAACCATAAATGTCATTGTCTTGTAAAAAAGACAAATTTGAAATAGTAAAAAAAAAATTTTTTTAAAAAATATAATCGAAAAACCTACAGATTTATGGTCCTTAAAAGTTAAGGCAATTAAATTTTTTATCTTGATTATGAAGGAACAATTCTCTTTTAGATAGATCAGTAAGAATACCTGTTGTTACAGGACTGGAATACAGTCACATGTCTATTATGAAAAAGCACTGCAAGAAAGACACATTAACAAAGGAAAATGAACAACTTCCTTGTGTGTAAACCTGCATGAATCTCAGTGAAGCTGATTGAAAAAGAGAATACTATATTTACACCAATTATATTGTTCCCCAAAGATGCAGTGCTCTGTGATACACGAATAGAAAGAAACGAGGTCACTCACAAAAAGCAGAACGATTTTGCTGTACAGAACAAAGGCCATCTCTGGTGCTGTGTAGCTGTCACTATAGTGCACTGCGCTTCTGCTAAGGCAGCAGAGTACTTCTTTGCATGGCACTTTTGTATGATGAAGATGCAATGATGGCACAATGTCACACCAGGACTGCCATTAGAACACTCCACAGAAGCTGCTCAGGTGACTTACTGGAGAAAGGAGACCTATACTAAGATTTATTCTTTATCTGAGTCCTCACTTCCACACAAATATTTCTAACAAAGAAGAATTACAAATTCCTGTTACTAACAGAACCTAATGAGGCCAAATCCAATTTAATTCCTTCCCTTTAAGGGGAAGTGATCAATTGGTTCAAACACAGTGTTTTCTATTCGCATGGAGAATATAGCTACAGAAGTTGTAACTCAGAAAAAAATAGAGAGATTAACAAAAGAAAAGCAAGGAAGAAAGGGAGGATTGGACCCAGCTCTCAGCCAATGTTCCTGATACATCAAGTCACAGATCACCACTGCCAACCAAGGACTCACAAAACACATCCAGCACAGTGTTCTAAGAGCATCAGGAAACGCTGTCATTAAGTGCTGGTAACAAAAATCTATGATGTGGAGGATTAGAGATGGGAAGGTAAAGCTCTGAACATCTCACACTTTTCCAATTTATTTTTACCTATTTAATTAATTGGTATCAGAGCAGTAACGGAAATGAACAGCTTATACAGGAAAAAAAAAAAAGCTGTAAACCCATTCCACCTACTAGGCATCATTGCGTGTACAGCAGCTTGCTGGTTTAAAAACAAATGGAAAAATAAACAATCAAAACTTGCAGCGGCCCATGCGTAAAGTAAGCAGCACCCTGCTGCGTGTGAGAGCAAGAAATAACTGTCAGCAGCAAAACAGCTGCCGAAAGAAAACACCTGAAGGACAGCTAAAGGCACAGGAGGATGGCTGTGTCACATCCAGCACAGCAGTGGGCACCACGACAGGCGGCTGCAAGCAGCTCTCACCAGCAAACACTTCTCACCGTTTCTTTTCCTGCCTTCGTCTTTTGTCACTTTCTGCGGTGCCACGACTTTCTGCGGGGAGCTCCGGCTGGAGCTGGGCTTTCCCGACTCGTTGCTGATGATGGAGCCGTTCTGGCTCGGGGACCGACTGCAAGTAACCATAGCAACAAGAGAGGCTGTAAGTTTTTCACAAACCTTGTTTCAAGGTTATTTCATCTACACAGTTTGCACCACTGAGTTTTCAGGTCTGATTTTGTACCAAAACGGTATTGAATATAAATAGCATGCACAAACAGAGGAAAAACAGGAACAGACTGATGGCAGGAGAGCACTGCTCCTCAATTAGTTCAGGGCTGATAGGCATCTTAAGCCACACCAAAAGCAGGCACCTCTCATGCACAACCCTCACAATGACAGAAGTGGCATTGCAGAGGACAGAAATCCTTGTCATTAATTCTGTGTCATTATACAGCTAAAACGAACAAGACTCTTGCTGTTATAAATGCAGCTAAAATAATTTCTTCATTACTTCGCTTGCATCAGCACACAACTATTTTCTCAGCCACAATGCAAAATCCACTAATTCCCTTATCTTCTTTTTACCTCTTTGCACTGAGCACAGTTTAACCAGCTCCATTATCTGCTGAAACTCCTAAGAAAATGTTCTTTTGTTTGCAGGCATTGTATCTCCTTGCACTAGAACTGCCCCAGACAGGCTGAGGAGGGAGGGCACAGCAGCCCCCATCAGTGCTGGCTCTCAGCAAAGAGCAACCCTGAGAACACGCTCTGCTCTGGGTGCTCGGGATCAAGCTCTCAGCTCAAGTACTCTTCTTTTGGAGGTGGGCAGATGACTCAGTCTTAATGCACAACTCAAGAAACGCAGGCCAAGGTAGAAAATATCATCTTTGGTGCTATTCCAAATTGATGCATGATGTCAAATTGTTCCTAGAGGTGAAACTTGCCATCTATGAGACCTGCATAGTTACATACGCACCCACCTACAGTTAAACACTTCAGATCATCATGACTGGTAAAAGGAGAATTTAAACAGGTTGCATGTAAGGAAAAAACTAGTCACAAGGACTTACATTTAGAGAGAGAAATCCAAACAATTCTACTGCTGTCGAAATAGCTTTATACCCAGAAAAAGGTATCAAAATAAAAATACCATGAAGATCAACCCATTACTGCCATGCTATACTGCCAGTATGAAACATTCGTTTACCTCTTCTTCTGACTGCCCTATCCATGTAAGAGCATTTACTGTAATCAGAATGGGATGGGACAAGTATGAGGAACTAATTCCTGGGGACTCTCTTTCAAGGACAGCCTGAGCGGAAAGACGTTTGACACCAGCTCTCCCCAGCTCTGTGACTTCAGGAGAACTCAGCACACACTCTACATCAGCTCAGCTTGAGGATTTTCTTGAAGTTCTACTGAGAATAAATATTCTTGAAAAGAATTTCTCCCCTGTATATCTCCCTGCCCCTGCTAATGAAGAGTCCCAGTGTATAAATCATTCCAGGGACAGATCAATAGCTGAAGAAAAGTTGATCTACTTGGGAACGAGGAAAAGAAACAAGTATAGATAGCTTGCACAATTATTTCCGCTCCCACTAAGGTAAATATTCATCTTTTTAAAGCAATCATTGTACTTATTATCAGAGAAGTTTCCTTCGTGATAACTTGAGAAGATATTCTGATCAGTTACCAGCCACTTCACAGCAGTTTGATTTAAATTGACCTTTCCAGACTGCAAAGTAACCAGGATGAAAGAGCAAATACATAAAGGTCAAGAAATATTTCTTCATCTTAAGAAATCATTAAGTTCCATCCCCAGACACAATTCAAGAATGAAAAGAGATTGCCATTCTACATGTTCTCACTTACTCAAGTAATCACTCAGAAGGAGGTAACAGTAACTCTGAAGAACCATTGCCAAGAAGGGCACACAGAAGCATCACAGGTTTTTGTACGCTTCTTTAAAGAGAGCAACTTTCCTAGTGAATTCCTAAGTCAAGATTGCTAATCCACATTTGCTTAAAAAACGGGCAGATTAAGTAGAGGGGGGATTTCTATACCCATTCCAAGGACTGAGTTAAGGTTCTTAATCACTTTTTTTTTTTTTTAAAGACTATTATAGGGCAGGTTTACCTGTGTCAGAATGGCTCTGGAGAAGTTGAACAAACATTTTAAAGAAAATTTTCTGCAAAGGTTTATCTGTGATAACACAGCAGCCAGTATAATGGTGATCTTTCATTCAGTTTCACTGGGGACGATACAGGGTAGACCTTACATAAAAGTTCCTACTGGGAAAGGCAGCGAAGAACAGATTCTTGAGGATTCCACCATAAAGGAAGACTTCAAAGTTCAGGCAGAGGTGCCATTGACCACACAGTGGAGTAGAGCAAGGACTAGTTGGGTTCCTGGAGGGAGAGCTTCTAACATGCATTCAGCCCGGAAGACTTACTTTGAAAAGACTGTAAACCTGAGAAACTTTAGAAACTGATGTCACCTAGTCTGTTCTTACACACTCTAAAGTTCAGTCCTGCTACAGATACTCTGAATCCAGAGATCCTGCTTTGATGATGTAAATTCATGGATGCTCAGTATTTGCTCTCCAACTGATGGACTGATGCAGTCTGCCAGCAGTTCTAAAGCAATTTACAGTCACAGAAATCTCATCGTTTGCTTTATTTGAAGAATGACTGGTGTTCATCCTCCAGAGTCAATGTTTATTTTAGGTTTTCCTCTTGCACAAGGCCAGCAAGCACAAGACAGGCACTTCTCATTTAACTCCTCTGCTCATATACAATCTGTGAAGACTCTTCACTTTGGCTTACCTTTCATTTTGCAGCAAACTTACACATCCAGTACAGACTAATGTTATGCCAAGTATATATCATGGAGGAATCATCTGCCACACATGGTGCGTGGGTACCAAACCCTTCAATTTTCCCTAAGCCATGCAACACGTACCCCATTCACCCTTCAAAAACACACAACTCCATACCTTTTCCTTGTTTCATTGGATTGGGCTGTTTTAATGGTGCTCCCATCCTGAGTGATTTCTCTCTCCTGGGAGGAAGGAGCATCTCTGACTGGAAGTGGAAGTACGACAGTCTCCTGAGTTACTGGTAAAACTTCATCTTCGGCCCCCTGCTGACCTAGATGTTGCTTGGCATAGTCAAAGCCTTGTACTGGCTGTGAAAACGAGTGGGAGAAAAAAAAATTTCCAGAGTGTGTCATATGTTAAGAACAAAATTTTCACTTGAATATACAATTTTCCACTACTGCTTCACTTCTTTAATTAAATAAGCTAGAGGTAAAAGTGTGTAGATTGCAATACAAATGTCCAACAACACAATTTTTCTGATAAGATCTCCATTACACATACTTAAAACATGATTAGTATCGAACTTGGCTAACCTTTCTTCCCCTGTCTGAACACCCTCAGAAATTCCTTTGACAGACAATGCAGAAGTGAATATAAATAAACAGAAAACATGAAAAGGGAGAAAAGCAAGGCCATACAGAAAGCAAAACTTCTTCCATGAAAAAAATCTCTTGTTTCCAAAGGAGGCAGAAGTAATTTATTCCAGATGAAAACAAAGCAAAAAAAAAAAAAAACACAAATGAAAGTTTTATGGGCAAAATTCCACCCCCCGCCCCCCAATTTATTCTTCTCAGAATAATGAAATCACATTCCCTTCGGCTTTCAAGTTGCCTACTGGGAAGGTTCTCATTGATTTTACTTGTTTCTTTTGGAAAGTGGCATTTGCAAGAGGCTTGCAGCCCTGGCAGCCAAGTGCTGTGTGCCCAGCCTGAAGCCATGGCTGTGCTTTCCTTGCTGCCTCTGCAAGCAAAAAGCAGAAATGACAACGCATTCAGGGCAAAGCAGCCACTGAAAGATGGATTTTCCCAACAGAGAGATTAAATAATTCAAGCAAAACTTAACTTTCAAAAATGCATTCCTACTGGGAAGACAAGAACCACTCATATTTCTGGACAATTCTGGGACAAATATGTAACATGTAAAATGTTCTTGCTGCATTTAACTGAGTTAATTTGTCCCATAAATGTGCATTCTTTCTGAAGTACAAAGACTATTTGCAGAATGCTAAAAAACCATCAAAAAACAATTCCAAAGATAGGTAAGGCTGATTTTAACCCTCAAACTTACTTTGGAGAACACATCAAAATTACACATTTAAAACCAAGTGGTCCCTCTCAGGATCCTGTCCAGCTGCCACTGAGCATTTTCACTCCAGAAGAAAGTCAGGCTGATAAAAAAAATCCGCTGATTTGTGCACAGAAAAAGAATGAGCTCTTAAAAAAAAAAAAGAAAAAAAAAATTTCCCTTGTTCTGTCGCTTCCTGAATCTGGGCTATCTCTAAAAATACATATAAATTTCACAGGCAATTTCGTCTGAGAATGAAAAGTTGTGTCCTTAAAAAAAAAAAAAGTTTTTGTTTATGGGATGAGTCTCCTGCTTTCTGTGTTGTCTGCTTAAACCAAGGCTCATGTGTTCAAATACTTCAGAATTAATCTGATAAACAGCTCCAGTGTATGAAGGAGATACTAATTGGGCTAACTCTGGTCTGGGGAGCAGACGACTCCATGCACTGGCACGATAGATCTTGCAGTTTACCAGAGGAAAGCCAATTCACCATCACTACCCCATGGCAGTCATGATGCTACCATCCCTGACAGCCTTCTGCTTGCCCTCTTCTGAAGGCAAGGGGCCATAAAAGCAGCCACTAGCTACCAAGGGAAGAAAAGAATGAGAAAAGGAAGTAGTAGCTGTGCAAAGACAATTAGGGTGAACTACTGCACCCCATCCCAGACAGTAATACTTTCAATCAATAAAATACTTCTCAGCCTTAGTATCTGTATTAACCATCAGTCAAAACTACCCCAGTTCTTCTGCAAAAATAGGCATGAAAAAAGAAAGTATGATTAAATCAGGTATTTCTCCACACTGGTCAAAGAATAGAAGATACAACCTACAATTCATATCTTAAAAAAAAAAAAAAAAAAAAAACAACAGAAGAGACAGAATACCAGTGTTTTTACAGGATCCTACAGAATCCCAGCCTGTATGTGCCAAAGGAACAAAGTAAAGATTATTTAAATTCTACTCACCACCATGTCTGGTAACAAACTGCATTAAGGAAGAGCTGAAAAAGCCATCCTCAACAGCGGACATATTGCGTTAAATAAAATTTGATCTTGGAACCCTGCTCTGAGAAAGTCCACAGGAACAGATGGCTTTACCACCCCTGAAGGGAACTGGCAAGACTGAATCACGATCAGGCAGTGCTAAAGCACAGCAAGGATAGGTGTCCAATATGGCCACAGAACTCAGAGAGACCGACCGAGGGGGATTTGAATATCGATTTAGAAGACATGATTAGATGATTAAATTGCATTGCCTGGGAAAGGGTAAAACGAACGTGGAAAAATGTTACTGGGACATTTTTCCTTGTAATGATTATGAAAGACACTGATATTTAAATAAAGAACAAAAAAAGGGAACTAAGAGAAGAAAGGATGGTTATCCCCTCCTTCTGCATGTATACCCACAAACACAGGCAGCGTCTCTGGTTTCTTTTTTCCATGCCCTTTACCAAATTGACAGTGGCTGTTTTCTCATGGCCTACACTATTTGTTTTTGCTGGTTGGTCGTAGACTGCAGATCTTATCTCTGTTTACATTCAAGCTTATACTGTCATGCACTAAAAGAAAGGACTGATTTCAGATTACAGTCTTAAAGAGAAAAAAAAAAAAAAAGGCATGCTGTGAATTCAGAAGCAAGAGAAGTAAAAGCTAGCATCTGCCCAAAACCTCAAAGTAAAAACAAGCATCTCAAAACAAAAGCAGCATTTCAAGAACATTAAGATAAATTCAATTTAGAATTTTACTTATTTTACTTTTTTTTTTTTTAATTTTACAACTGGAAAGCTGTGAAAAATGAAAAACTGGGGAAGAAAAAGGTAACACTGCTACTTCCCTGCAACATAGTCCTGATGTCACTGGCTCCTCAGCCAATTCAGAATGGCAACAACACAATTCATAAGATACTATAAAATACACCGTACAAGAAAGGTCATTTTTAAAACCCTACTTATTTAGCTGTCAGCCTGTGAGAGCAACAAAGTCATTCCTAAATTACCAGGCAGAGGCAGCAATCCTGCTGTTACATCGCACCCCACTCTGCAGAAGGATATTTAAGCTGGGCGTTTCATTTCCCCTCTGTGCTGTGCTCAGGCATCCTACCCGCTGACATGGGACGAGTGAGTCCCCAAGGGCTGTGGCAGGCAGCTCTGCTCAGTGAAGAACTGCAGCATCCCTCTGCTTGCAGCAGCAGGAGGACTGCAGTGATGAACAGGCTGCTCTGCTCTGCCAGCTCCCCTGGTACAAGGGAGCACCGCTCAAAAACAGCGGCTGAAACCCAAGGCTGTAAGCATCCCGTGACATTCTCCTCATATCCAAAAGGTATCAAAAACATCCTAGTGATATAGAAGCAAACCTCAGGGTTGCAAAAACAATATATTAAAGCTGTTCCTTCAATTAAAAATCACTCTGCTGCGACCACACTTGCAGCTCAGATGCAGCATTAATCAAGCAGTCTCAGGTACTAAGCAATGAAATATCCCGTAGAATCATTGAATGGTTTGGGTTGGAAGGGACCTTTAAGGTCATGTAGTTCCAACCTTCTGCTGTAGGCAAGGACCCTTCCCTGTAGACCCTTCCCTCTAGGTTGCTCACAGCCCCATCCAGCCTGGTCTTCAGTGCCTCCAAGCAGGGAGCATCCACATCCTCTCTCAGCAACCTGTTCCAGTGTCTCACCACCCTCACAGTAAAGAATTTATTCCTACATATTCATTTAAAATGTGATGTAGACAGCTACTTGTATTGCCAAACCGCAGGGAATGCAGCAGTTATAGTTCAGGCAGTTATTGTTATTCCTGAGCTCACTAATGCTGGAATAAACAATAAAAACAAAACCGTTCTTTTCAAAATGATCTTATAACATTATCTTCCTAAAATACATTCCCTAGTCCTATTTTAAGTGAAGATGCTATAATTAGGAAAGACAAAAGCAGTCAATTTCCATCCCATCGCTGGATTTATACTTTATGGTCAATACAGCAGCGTATACTCCAGGCTAGATCTGGCTGAACCTTTACGAAGGAACCATCTTTGTGAAACTAAGCACACATCAATTTAGCTTTCATTTTTTCAAATTAGCTTTCTATTAACAAACTAAATTATATTTATTTCCTTGATTGTCAAAATATACCAAAAACAAACTGAAGAAGCTTCTATACTAGCACTGTAGTTCGGATCAGGAGTGCACCTTTGAAGTAAATCTCCAAGTTACCTTCGCTGACCATACTTTGATTCACATCATACCACAATTTCAGGGCTCACGAACCTTCTTTAAGATGAAAGAAAAATAGGAAATGCACTCTAGAAGCAGGCGTTGCACTGAAGTCGCAAACATGAGCAAATGTGCAATAAAATCATTTGAAATGAGTGTTGGGTGGATGCTGGCAGCTCAGCACCAATTGTTTTGTTCTGCAGATCCAACTCCTTTTTGACCACACTGCCTGCTGGTCAGTAAACACAGACCAAGGGAATAGGTTTCCACTCGATCACCTACATCATAGCCTTATTAAATCAGTTTTCCTGGAGAAAAGTCAAAATTGCAAACTCTTTTTCTTTTTGGAACGATAACTGTGGAATATTACAATAAGTTTTTTTTCTGTCACAACTCCAACCAGCAATCTTCTTCTTAAATAGTAACTTCACTCAGCTGTAACGTATCCCATAACGGTAACAGTTCAAAACAATGTACAAATTAGTCTCCCTTGTACTCCAGCTGGGACCTGAGATTACATATAGGAATTAAGTTGTGCATAATATTCACAGGAGCCCCAATCAATCATCATCTGTATTTTAGACATTTGAGCAGGACATCATGCGATATTGCAGTGATATTAGTTTTTTCATGTGTGTTTGAATATTACTTGTTTCAGTTTTCCAGATCTAGTCTTAATGCTACTTTGGTAATATCAAATAAATAGATAGGCATATTGGGAATGAAATGAAAATGTATTTTATGCATCATTTTTGATACAGCTGACAGCAGCTGTACCCATCTGCAGCTGTGCTAAGACGAAGAGAAAGGACCTGTCATATGCATCACACCTTCCTTCAGCTCTCCCCCCAATCTACAATTCTCAGCAAAGCAGAAATCACAATAATCCTCCTGTCTATTGCTTCAAGAAACCAAAGGATCCATCAATTACACCCAGCAGAGAAACAGAGTAAAAACTTCAGAAAGCAAGGAGATGTCTTGGATTTGCAGATCAGTCACTCACTTTAGCTCTTTGAGGCAGGTTCATCATGGTATCCGGTTTGAAGTCATTCTTGTTTTTCCTGCATAGAACTGCTGTAATGATAATGATGATGACTGTAACCACCGCAATGGGAGCCAGCACCGCCGCAATGATCCACAGGTTGTTCGGTGGGTTCTTCACCACAGCTACAGAAAATTGAAAACCAACATTGGTAAGTTTCACTGTGTAAATTAAAGACGCAAATTGCTTCCAAAAGCGCCTTCAGCTGCCTCCACATACCGATTAGTATAAAAGGATTTCTAGTACCTATTTATGCCTTTATATTTCTTGAGTAAAAATTAAAGAATCAGCAACACTGTTCAATTCGCATACGTGGCAGCAAAAGCTGCCATCAGCTCCCAAGCCATGCCAGATGACATTAGATATCACTCAAACATTCATTTACAGAATTATTTTTTGTAAAGAAGAGATTTAAGTAATATATCCTCTACTTTTCAAAACACAACCAACCTATAGAAAGATAGTATGTGCTGAATGTAATGCACAGAGCTCATGCCTGGTAGCAGTCTTAATGGCTGTACCAGAGTAAATCAAAGACAACAAAGCTAAGCACGCTAACAGTCATTACTGACACCAGCAGGGCAATAACAAAATGCTTCTCTTGTGCTCTAGGAATATTTTGTCATAGTTAAGATCAAAATTAATCCATCATTTCTGAAGGAGAATTGGTAAGGACAGAAAAAGCTATTTGCAGCTATATTAATAATGACACGAGGAAAAGGATACATTTCAGAAATGGAGTGGCATTTAAATGCTTTTAGATTCCATTTCACCAGAATAAAGTATTTTAGTATGCATGCTCCAACTTGGACTCACGTAAGAGAACCTCCTGTTACATAAACCCGTTACCATTACATTTCTTCCTTGAAAAACACCAGATAATCTCCTTATGATTCTGCATTTTCCTCCAGTGAAACATATTTTGTGGACTTCCACATGCTTTCTCTATTTATTTTCCCGTGCCACTGTTGGCTGGCATGGATAGGCAATTGTGAGCATATTGATGTAAAATAGCCTTTTCTACTTCCTTGGGGACTAATGCTTTCAAATGTCATTGAGCTTATTAGCTGTCAGAGGCACACAGCGTATTTCAGGATCAGACTGAATGCACACCATAATGCTCTGGCTCTGCAGCAGTTATGAAAGCCAGCTGAAACTGTGTTTGAAGGCTGAGCCCATTTTCCTTGCATTTCTGCACCCTCTTGCAAAGCCAATGCAGTTTGCTGGGCTGAGCAGGAATAGCACCTTTATGTACCTGATAGTAACAGTATGCCTACAGACTGCAAAAAAAAAACAAGCTGAACCCCAGGATTAAGTAATCTTTCAAGGTTCCCTTCTCAATGAGCTTATGTAATTCTAAATTAATGAGTCTGAACACACATTTTGGGAATGAAAAGGCTGTGGGGAAGGAAGGAGAATCTGAATTTTATCAGAAAATAATAACGTTAAGCAGAGAGCTGTTCTGTGAGCAGAAAATTATTGAAGAAGTACAACTGTGATTTGTGGAGGATGCAGAAGAAACAATGACATTGTGACAAATAGGACTAACATTTAGGAGTCCTAGTTTTAAACCCTGAATTCAGTTACTGTCTTCAACGTTACCATCAATAAGTCAATCTGTTGCTTATGCAAATTCAACAGGATTTTGGAGCAAGCTTTCATTTTGCTATAACTCAGTCCCTCATCTATGAAACAGGAACTCTTTTTTTTTTTTTTTTTTGTTATTCATCTGTCTAGCCCAGACTATGAGCTCCTTGGGGTAGATATCTTCTCTTATTGCATTTTGGTACAGAACCTTTCAATCTGCTGTAACAGAAATTATGAGTAGAAACAAAACTCACATGAAATATTTTCTTTGGAACACAAAGGCTGACTGTGAGCACTGTGTCTAAAAAGAGACAAACTGATTCCTTAATGGAGTATGAAGATAGTTCTACCTCCTACATTTTAAGCATTCTGGTTTTGGAATCTCAGTTACCCAAGGTCATAATTTTCACTTCTGTACGTTTTCTTTACAATACTGTACGCACATTTAACCTCTCTGAAAATCTATAGATGAATGAGGCTGCCTTATCAGATCACACAAGTACAAAGTTAAATGATCTGTGGCAGCTGCTACATAATTACCTAAATATCCATAAAAGTAACAAAACTCCACAGAGTCATAAAGCTGCTATACATTCTCTACAGCTGCTATAGCAAAAACAAAGCTGCTAAACATTCTCATTGCAAACAAAATAGTTTAGATTTTAAATACTAGGCTTTATGGAGGCAGGAATGGAAATCTGCAATTTTAGTCCCATAAAAGTCAATAACAGAGGATGATCAAATCCAGGATTAGGTAGAGTATATAGTTCATTCCCTGGAAATGACACCATACTTCAGCCTTCTAACTCAATCATGTGTTTATGGATGATACATCAATTACTTATTATAGTGGCTCCTTCTTTTCCTATCCCCATTACGTGTAATTATTTCAGTATCACTACTCCTTCAGGCAGAGAGATGGCTGAAGTAATGGCCCCAGGAAGTCCCATTTTATCTGCTGTTTAGCCAGTTAGGAGATCGAGTACAGAAACCCACACTGTAAGTTTAATTCCACCTGGACCAACACCTCAGACAATTGGAGAAATTCAATTAGTTGAAGGCATCAATTCACACAGTAAACTGTTGTTAAAAAGAAAAAAAAAAAAAAAAGATTAACAGAGAGAAACTTGAAAAGGACTCTTACGATCAGCTTGAACTTGAATCACATAACCCAGCGTCAGGGCCATCCGCTGGGAGTCAACAGTACTCAAAATTTTGGCAGCTGCAGTGCCCAACAAAGGTTTCCCATTGTACAAAGTATAGTATGTCAGTTCAGCTGGCTCCTTGGGTCCTGGAATTCGTTGGATTTTTACCATCTTTCAGAAAAATAAGAAAATGAGAGAAAGAAATAAACGCCATTTGTATCGTATCATTGCAAAGCCAGCAAGAAGTAATCTGAAGGCAGTGCATGCAGACTGTCAGATCTGATATAAGCATAAGCTGAAGGCAAATATTACAAGAGGAGCAGGGTATCCCCTCTATGCTACAGTCTATTAGGATTAGTGAGCACTGACTGCCTTCATGAAAATCCTTAAGCGTAATCCTAATGCAAAGAAAAGGCATACAGTAAAAAGGAGAGGTTCAAATGCTTGGACAGTACAGTCCTCCATAAAGAGGAAATTCTTAAAATCTGCCCCAATGTTGAAAACCACACTTTGCTAACACATTGCAGCTGAAAATTTCCCTCACATTTTACTGCCACATTCACTATTTTTAATCCTGGGCTAGCAATAAGAACTGTGCTTTCTCAGTTTTACTCAGGAAAACACCAGCAGAATTTTAAAATTGAACCTTTTCTTTTCCTGAGAGCAGAGGAAGTGCTAAACACCTCAAATGACAAGAGCAGAAAGGAATTTTGTGATGCTTCTCTATTACGTAATAAACAATTATACATCATATTTTCACGGAAAAAGTTGCAGAAGTTCACACGTTCAGTCTGTAAAAACATATTCCTTTTTCAGATCGTCAGTGAAAAAATATACGGAATGATGGGCAAAAAAAAAAAAAAGTGGTCATTTGTTTTTATGTCTCTCAACAAGCAATTCTTGAAAAAACAACACATAGCTAAAGGAAAGAGCAAAATCTTCTCATGGATTTCACAAAAGAATTTCCCTTTGAATCCCTCACAACTAGCATCATTTGGCCAAACTAGTGAGAAAGCAAAATAAGAACTTTTCAAACAAAAGAATGGTAAATATTGCCACATAGTAGTAAGATGACTAATAAATTACTCAGGGCTCAGGTGTCTACTTGATAATGTGATCTGTGGACATATGATTTGATGACCAACCTTGTAGAAGAACTGCCTCACACATTTTTTCAATAAAAAGGCCAAGTTCTACTCTTACTGAGTTATCCCAATAATAGAAGAACTAAGAAACACCTTTTTTCCACACTTGAAAACAAAAATCAGAACTACTCCTTATGTTGAGAAGGAGACTTTATGCTAAAATACATGTATTGTATCAGTCTTCACAGCAGCCAAAGACAAAATATTTGTTAGCACTGATTAGTTAGCTTTTAGGAGATGAGAGGCATGAAAACACGGCTGACCTCAGCAAAAGGAACCCATTATTAATGCTCGCATATTGCATGTGCTCCTTTGGTGCTCATGAAAATAGACAGGAGCTTCCCCCACACATTGAGGCAGCATGCATCCAGACAAAGCTCTTCATGAAGCACGTTTAGGTGCAACTGACGTTGGACTGATCACCTGCACAGTGTAGCTGCCCACAGTGGTGGCACGTTTAAAGCGTCTTCCTTGCTGATGGGACATCATGAACAGCGGGGCCAAGCGCTGCTCCATTAATCTCGCAAAGCTCTGATTGTTCAGTCCCAGTAATGCAATATCAACCCCTTGTATAACTGCAGGAATGGGGAAAAATCACACATCAGCACATCTTAGATAGATTAAACAACACGCAGAGCTGTTTGACAGGGATGTACCGACTCGCTGAGAAGAAAAATAACTGGGCAGTGTTCACAAGAGTTCTGTCCTCTCAGGGATTCTCTGCTGACACACGATGCGCTTTGTCTCACTCGCTGCACTGTTCTAAGATAATGCCAACCATGCTTCAGAAAATTAAATCTTCTTAAAAAAAGAAAGTCCAAGCCATTCATTTACCAAAATGGCTCAGAAAAACACCTAATCCATTATCTCCAACACAAAGGTCAGTGAAAAAGTTTGGGAGCTGTCTGGCTTTATGCTTACCAAAGGAACAGCCAGATGCTCCTGTTGGGCAAACAGCAAGGCTTTTTCCACCCAGCAGTTTTGAAATCTGAAGCTGGAGCTCTACACGACTGTTTAAAAATATTTATATTTGGGAGCATTTATCATTGAATAGGCATTTCCTAAATGCTAATGAATATAAAATATAAAATAAAATAAAATGCACACTAAATACACAGAGTTCAAACAAGTAATACAGCATGCTCATTTAGTTCATAAATATGTATGATTTTTCAGTGTTATTTAAAAATTCATCTGGGATCATCATGAGGAGTTTTTTTTTTTATTTTGAAAACATCATTTCCATTGTAGTACCAACAGTATTCCACCACTGTAAGTGCACAAAGGCAAAAAATGGATCATCAGTGGGGGTGCTGCACTTCAGAGGACAATCATCTCTGCATAAATTTATTTTTAACCTGAAAATTACAAGTAGACGTAACAGGCACCAAGTCACACTGGATTTTGGAAAGAGATTACAGAATTTATGCCATTTCATGTCAGGCACCTTTTCCTACACTCCCCTGAGTATTAAACAATTCCAGCTACAGGCACACTGATAAGCAGGCTGCTGGATCTACTGACTCAAAGGTGTCTGGGAAAAAGGGTCTCTCTCTCTATCTCTCTTGCTCACTGAGCACTTCTTAAGTCAAAATATATCTGAAGGGGAACTTGATACCAGTGAAACAACATTTTTTTTCTATAAACAGCATGTTATGCATTTAAAATTTCAGGTGAAAAAATGCAAAAGGTCCCAGGCTGGGTCAGCAGATACTAGCACACTTCCCTTGGCTTAACAGATCACCTCTTTTTTCTTCCTGGATTTCGTCTGCAAGTCTCTTTTGATTTCAGATTTAAACCCAAGTTGCAGGAAAAAAAAAAAAAAAAAAAAAAACACTGTTTTAATTCTGAAAACAGCTGCTCTTATAAACACTTAAACCCAAAATGGCGTAAATTCTGAAGCAAGTGCTGAACACAAGGAAGGTCTCTGCCCAAGATAACAAATCACAGTTGTGTCCAAGAGTAACTTTGGATACATTTGTCCAGTTGAATGCAACAGGAGTGTTCAGTGGGCAGCCACTTATATTCATACAAAATCACTGTGTATGAAAGACACTGTAGATGTATTACTACAACTGAGTACTAAAAGCTATTCTCCCAAACACGTGGAAGACAGAAGAAGATTAACAAGTACCTGTGATCACCCAGTAGTCTCTAGTTGACTCTGAGACATCGAGGTTGGGATATTCCAAAGCTTTAAAACAAAAGTCAAAATTATTTCATAATATTTCAACACCTCACACATTTTATGTCCCTGAACAACACAGCCAGACATTGAAAATTAACATTGATCTTTTCCATAAAGATAGTTACATGACTGCTCAACTGAGGAAGATCTAGAGACATAAATTCCAGGATTACAGTTTCTCTTCCATCTGAAAAAGGACACGAAATGTGAACTGTAAAGGTGCTACTGCACAACACAGAATATATCTTCTGCTGCCAGAATATTTGCTAGTGAACTTTCTGTGGGTAAAACCAAGGATTACCTACTACTGAAGATGATATATGATAAGTATATCTCCATGCTATATACATCTCTGCCACTTTCTCTACATGAGTAATCCTCCAGGAATGTAAGAGAACTTTCCATGGTCATTCTGTGATTTAATCCTTAAGTCAAACCACAATTTAAATATAAAATATTATTAATTAAAACACACGAACGTCAGCTTCCATTAAACAGAATACAGTTCCACATGAACTACAGACACGATTAACAGAACTGTGAAAATGGCTTAGAGTGGGCTATAGGCACACAGAAACCACAACACACTGCAGCATTTAAGGTATTACTACCATATGTGCTTACAGCTGTGAGAAACTGATGTCTGCTATTTTAGTGCTTTTTGTTATGTTTTGCATCTCAAAAGTGCACTAGGCTGTGAAGCTCAACACACTGCTAATTCTTTACGTGCACCAGCTTTATCTCAATAGACTTATGCAAGGTGGAAAGCATTATTACTGGGAGTTTATTTCAGGAGATATCTCTGCTTCCCACGTTGATATGCTGCCAATAAGTTACCTTGATTTTTAAACTCCACGGTGGTTTGAAATAGTAAACACTGTACAATATCTGATCATGAACAGTAACTGCTTCTGAGAAGAAATTTCACTCTATGTCCTGAGCTGCCCATTTCCACGACAGACCACAAGGGCTCTGGAAGAGCTGCAGAGTCCAGGTGGAAACAGTGTGGTCTGAACATGACAGCAACATTTGTCTGATAAACTGAAACCACTGCACCGCCACACGAATAAGCATAACACACTTGTCAATGCAAACATTTTCACAGCACATGCCATCAGTCTGAAGCCATAAATTCTATGCACACATTAAGAGCATGCATTTGCTGTATCCCTCCTGTGCAGGGAATAAAAACAAGAACTCCAGAATGAAATATAAGCCATTACTTGTTAAAGGAGCACTTGCTAAAGACTCGGTTGGGTCAGTTCATCACATCCGAGGACTGGCAGAGACATGACAAATGTCTTCTACAGCTGCTGACTATCAAGCATATGCCTGCACTGCTTTTTGCAAAAAGCACCAAGTAGTGGAAAGTCTGATTTAAATTGAAACTACATCTGTTGGTACAGCGGAACTCATCACTGGGCATTTTCACCTAGCCATCTGGTTGCAAATATCTGATGTGGATAAGTAATGTCTTAGGATTAACGTACGTTCCTTTTTCAAACATTTGCATGACCAGCTAGCTGCAATTCCCACCCTCTTCGCCCTGTAGAGGGATCACATACACCACACACTTGTTCGTTGGGCAAGTACCTGATGAAAAGCTGCATGAGATGATTATGGTTGGGCTCTTTGTTAAGATGATATACTTGCCAAAAAGGTAACTTGCACCTTTCCCCAGTGCTCGTTTTTCAGTAATCTGGTTCTAGTTCTTCCCAGAATCATAAAATAAACAAGGACCTTATTAACTTTATTTGAAGCTAGCAATCTATTCAGTTGAGTATTCTGATGCTAAATACATGTTTGGCTAGTGCTTGCAAAATGAAAAATTACAAACTACTCTGGCAGTGTTACAGCATTATCAATGACTTTGATGGCTACCAGAAGCCTAACCAGAACTTTAGGGGTATTTGAGCACAGCAGATCAGATTTATTAAGTATCGCATGAAGGCACTTTACCTAATGCTGAGATCAGCTGAAACATGCCCTTACTTAACCAAGCACCACTGCCATGCACAAATGTACCTATTAGGTTTATTTACTCTCACTTCCAGTGAGCACCAATATCTTCCAGTACACAGATAACCTGTCACTACAGCAAGCTTAATTACACAGACTGCATTTACAAAACAGATTAAACAAAAATCCATATTATGAGATGTCCCATCTCTTTATTCTTTCTAGAGAAATTAGCAAAGTCAGAGATCATATATACCATGCAGGCTGTATGATACAACTTCCATCTAACTCTGTACCTCTGATTCTTCACACTGGGGAAATGCAAGTGAATTATTGACACAACATCATAAACTGAGCAAGAAGCTCAGCAGATACCCAACGACTTTCAGAAAAGAGGTATGTTGGTAGAGCTCACCCACTAAACAAATGTGGTGGCATCTACTGAGTCATGCACCCGGACGAAGCACTGAGGGCTCAGTCTTCCACATAGCAAAGGGCTATGCTGAGGATAAACTTTACATGTTGGACTGTGTTACTCTGAAATAGCAAACTCAGGAGATTTTTATTTTATATGCTATTTAACTTTGCCTGGAACTCAGCATAGGCTTTTTTTTTCCTTCTATACACAACTGAAGTAGATACTGATTCCCCCCCTTCCAAAAAACGAAAAACCAAAAAAACCCCAAAAACCCCAAAAACCCCAAAAACCCCAAAAACCCCAA